GTCTGCTGCTAACCTTACGTGTCTACCTTGTAGGTTAAGTACCTTTTGTCACTAGCTGCTTTCAAAATTCTCTATCGTGTATTTTCAAGTTTCACACTGATATGTCTCGGTGTTGACCTGTTTTTATTGATTTTGAAGGTAGTTCTCTGTGCTTCTTGGACTCGAAAGCCTGTTTCTTTCCCCAGATTAGGGAAGTTCTCAGGTATAATTTGTTCAAATTTGCCTTCTGCCCCTTTTTCCTGCTCCTCTCTTCTGGGATTCCTCTGATATGGATATTATTGTGCTTTGTGGACTTCCTGAGTTCCATAAGTCTACCTTCAAGATCTAATAGTTTTCTTTCCCTCTTCTTTCCAGCTTCATTATTTTCCATAATTTTATCTTCTATCTCACCTATTCATTCGTCTGCTCCTTCCATCTTTGTTGTGATTACGTACAGTGGGTTTTGCATCTCACTTATAGCATGTTTTAATTTCAGCCTCACTAGGTTTTAGGTCTTCTATCTCTGTAGCAAGGCTTCCTCTGTTGTCTTCTATGCTTCTTTCAAGCCCAGCTAGTATTCTTATGACACTTGTTCCAAATTCTTATTCAGATATATTGCTTATGTCTGTTTTGAGAAAATCGCTGGCTGTGATTTCTTCTTGACCTTTCTTTTGGAGAGAATTCCTCTGCCTTGTCATTTTGTATGTTTCCTGTTCCCGAGAGTAATGCTATTTTAAGAGGCGTCATACACTGTCCAGGGCCTGGCACTTCAGGAAGTGCTTCTGGTGTAAGCTGTGTGCATGCTGCTACTGCGTTTTGGCCGCTCTTTCCCACAGGTCAGTCCTCTGCAGAGTTGCACCTTGCTTGCAGGGGGGAGTGTTTGGACCTTAACTAGGTGTGCTTTGATTTGTTTGTTAAAGTAAACCTGGAAAAAAAGAAAGGACAAAAAAAGAGAGAGAGAGAGAGGAAAGGAAAAGGAACGAAAATGAACAAACAAAAACCTATAAGCCTGTTTTGAAAGGAAAAGAAAGGAAAAAGAAAAAGAATAAAAAACCCTGATCCAGAGAAAGAGAAAATGAAACAAAAAAACAAACAAACAAACACTGTAAGTCTGTTTTGAAAGGGGAAATAAAAGACAAAAAGAGAAAATGAAAACAATGGAAAGAAAAGAAGCCTGGTCCTATTTCCACCAGAACTGAACTGATGCTTTGGAGCACTCTATGGTCAGTGACCTTGGTACATGCAATGGGCCTGTGTTGGTCTTCTGAGGGAGAGACCCACTATGCTGCTCACAGTCAGACTTGCCCTGGTAAAGACGCCCCAGACAGGTGCAGGGTGGCAGGGTTTGGTGTAAGCAGCTCCCATCTCCATGGGAGGCACGTGTTTTTCTCTGAAGTCTGACCACACTGGTGGGCTGGGGGTGGGGGTGATATTGATGCCACCCCACTGTCTTGTCCGTGGAAGGGGATCTCCCACCTGTCCCTTTTCAGGAAGCTCCGAGAGAAAAATGAATAATCTCCCATCCTGTGTCCCAAGCCTCCATCAGATCCCTGCCCTCACCCCTTCTGTGCCTGGGCCGTCAACACACTCACTGCCATACTTCTCCATTTTATCTCTGGCACATGGCTGGGATTCAAACCTCCAAATGTTAAAGGACCTGGTGCAGGCTGGACCCACTCCCTTCTCCCAGAGAAGAGCCTCCCCATGCTGAGACTTGAGAATTTTTTTAAAAATCTTTTTTTTTAGGATTGTTGTGGGGAAAAAGCATAAAGTTCCTTGCTCAGTGTCTAGAATATAGTAAGCACTCAGTAAATGTTAGCTATTTCCAAGCATTATGCACACAATTCTATAGAGGAAACCGAGGACTCAGGGAGGCAAACACGGAGTAACACCCAGAATTGCAACCCAATTCCTAGGCTGTCCCAATTCCAAGCTCTCTCCACAACTGCCCCTCATGTGCTAGGTGCAAAGCTGGTACTGATCCAAGCGAGGGAAGGAGTCAGGCTCCAGAGTCCCTGGGCCTGGGCCAGTGAGGGGCGGAAAGTAACCATAGAACTGGAGGAAAGTTGAGAGGCATGGGTAACATGGTTACACACCCCTGGGTTTGGACAGGAGCCCAGGATTTGGGGGGAAAGGTGAGACCTGTGGACCCATGGGTTGTGTAATGAATCTCCTGTCACAAGGTCGGCCACAGGAGGAGGGCATAGGAGTAACAGGTAGATGGTGAGGAACAAGGGCAGGAGGAAAAGCTGCCTTCCAAAGAACTCCTCATGAAAACACCTTGTTCTCCTTTCTGAATTATGGGCTTGGAGTCGATTTGGGAGAAGAGAATCAGGAACAAAGTGAGGCCGAGAGACTAACTTGTCCTCCTCAGATGTGCTTTCATATGTTCTCCGTGAGTCTTTAGTGCCCATCCCTCTCCCTAGCACTCTTCACCTGGTGAATTCCTATTCACCCTTCAGGGTCCCATTCTTGTTTTTAGTTGTCTCCTTCCTGGGTGGACCCAGCCCACTATTCACTCTTTCAGTACAGGCCTTATCATGTTTTCCTGGATTGCGTTACTTTTCTGCCTTTACCTCCTAGACTGTGAGCTCAGGAAACATTTGCTGAGTGCATGAGTGACTGACTGAATGAGCATTCCTGGGAGGACCTTGGGAAAGGGACAATTACCCCCCACACACACACCTTACAGAAGGAGAAACTGAAGTGCAGAGAATATGGTTGGCCAGCTTCATATGGCATGAGCAAGCCCTGGGCTGGGCCTCCTGAGTGTGAGCCCAGTGCTCTGCCTACCGGCACAGTCAGCCCAGGACATCGCTGAATGGTGGACTGGGACAAGCGTGGGGAACAATGCTGAGGCAGCTGAGGCAGTCTGGAGACCCCCGATTCTAATCCCAGCTGGCACTCTCATTGGTGGTTTTCCTCTGGCCACATCGCTTTAGCTCCCTGTAAGTGTTTTCCTCTCAGAAATGGGATAATAATCAAACCAAGCACATCTCCTTAACACTTGGTAAACTAGACTGAATTTTTTGCGGTCTGGATTCATGTCTGTTTTGCTGACAGCTGTGTCCAGGCACAAAGCACACTGCCTGGCACAGAGTAGGTGCTCCCGAAATATTTGATGAATAACAGGGAACAGAGCAAGTGGGAATGTGCCCAGCCATTACCACTGTCTGCTGAGAAAGCTTTCCTCCCACAGTTTCCCAAGGTGGCTCCTCACAGTTAATGAACTCTAGAAGTCCAATCTGAGCTCTGCCCTCACCCTTCACCCTCCCTCCAGGTGGGCAGGGCAATCCTCCCCTGACTGACTGGGCTGGGATGCTCAGGGGAGCTCAGCACAGTCAGGGACAGTCAGGCAGAGTCAGCGATCCAGCAGCCCCTGCACCATGAGTGTCTCTGTGCTGAGCATCACCGGACCCCTGGGCGGTATCTCTGGGCTCCTGCAAGGGGCCTCCCTGCTAGGGCTGGCTCTGCTGCTGCTCAAGGCAGCACAGCTCTACCTGCGCAGGCAGTGGCTGCTCAAAGCAGTCCAGGAGTTCCCATCCCCCCCTTCCCACTGGCTCTTCGGGCACAAGCTGGAGGTAGGAAGGGGCTGGAGGGGATTGGAGGGTAGGGTTGGCCTGAGAAGGCAGCAACCACCTACCCAATGCTAGCTGGGTGCCAGCACTGGCTGGGTGTGAGGGTTGCCCAGGGCAAAGGGAAAGCCCACATGTAGAAGGGCTCCCCAAGGGTTTATGGATTCAACAAATGGCCGGAGTCAATTGGGGAGTTGTAGTCAACTGACCCAAGTAACCCAATAGCATTTTAGTAAATGATGATTTGTTGAATGAACAAATGCATGAGGAAGGGCTTCTAATGGCCAATTCGGAGTGCCTGAATGTTCCCCCAGAAACTTGGGCTTCCCTCCATCACACATTAATTATCCTCTACTGTCATGGCTTCTTAATCTGTTGTCAACAAAATAAAATTAATATACAAATTTAAATTTTGAAATATAATCCACTTTATGCTCCAAATAAAATTATATGGCAAAACTGCTTACCATGTGATAATACTTGTCATAAATTTTTTATGCAGATGTGCTAATGACTTCCAGTAGTTTTGTACACCATGGAGTTAATAATCCCTGACAAGTTTCTGTAAGGCTTTGGTTGTGAAAGCCACTAATTCCACTCGACAATGGGACAGAACCTAGCCTTAGAACAAATCTTGGACAGCCAGGAAAGTCTCAATCAGAGCCAAGGTGTATGGGGAGATCTGGTGAGAGGACACCTGCATACCTGTTGAAGTAGCTCCTCCCTCTTGGATACATGCCCAGGAGTCTGTGATGTTGCAGAAGACACTGGAGGCCCAGCCATCAATACCTGACCCTCTACCTACCACCCTCCCAGCCCACAAGCCAGCAGAAGGCCAGATTATTATTTAAACTGAATCTATGTTGGGATGCTTTTTTTTTTCTTTTCTGTTCTGTTCTTCTCCCCTTTGTTCCTTCTCTCCTTCTTTCCTCCTTTCCTTCCTTGCTGCCTGCCTGCCTTCTTTCCTTCCTAAACCAAACTGAGACAATTCCAGTTTTGAAAGACAATTTCTTATACAAGAGGACTTCAATTAGGCACTTCTAAGTGTTGCCTGTGCTGAGTAATAAGATGGCTGAGCCACCACAATTTCTAAAACACCAGAGATTCTGTCTTTTCATTGACACTAAAACCGAGCCTTTGTTTCTGCTGAACTACTTAGCTCGTCCAGCGGGGCTCTGCTGTGGGACTTTGAATCTGCCTTCCTGAGCCTACAGTGACTATCAGGAAAGAAAGAGAGTCCGGGTTGGAAGGCAAGTGGGAGGTGGATTGACACAAACTGCCAGCTGACAATCATCAGGAAGGGATGGGGACAATGGTCTGGACCACAGCTACTTCCTGAGGGCAGCCTGTCTTCGTGGGTCACCTCCAGTTTCCTGTAACGCCCTTCTTACTTTCAGACCCAAAGTCTGATGGTTCCTACAGATTCATGGCTCCCTGTATAGGTAAGTACATTGAACTAGGAATATGGTTCGCCTCCTGCTTAGGTTTGCCAACATCTATCCATCTGGCCCAGATTAAATAAGAGGTGACTGGTACCACAGTCACTCCACTCAACTCTGAATTGAGCCCCCTTTCTCTTCTTCTGATAAAAACCTCACACCTTCCTTATGGTAGGGGAGCCCTCCTGCAGGTCAGCTTCTCCCCCATCACTTCTGAGTCCTCGCCAATGATCTCAGCCTAACTTTTCATGAAGTCCTCCTATTACCCATTCCCTCCTCTGTTTCGACCTCAATCTTAAGCTGTCGTAATCACTTCCTGTATACTACCCTTGGGGAAGTCCCCTTCCTGACATGCACTGGCCTTTCCTGCCTTGCCCAGGATGACCTTCTTCCGACACCCTGGGTTCCTCCCCAGGTGTCCCCAGAAAACTCTTGGGAGGTTCCTTCCCCACACATATACCCATTGTGGTCCAGGGTATGGTTTGCTCCTGTTGAATGGGCAGGCGTGGTTCCAGCACAGGCGGATGCTGACCCCAGCCTTCCACTATGACATCCTGAAGCCCTACGTGGGACTCATGGCCGATTCTGTCCGAGTGATGCTGGTGAGTTCAACCCCTCCTCACCTGCACACTCACACCCACAGCACAGTCCACAAAGTCCACTCTCAGACAGCTGTGTCCCTCAGACATCCATTAGACTTGGCCCTTGGAATCACCCACTCATACCATACTATGAGACAGGGCTCCCTGGGGATGGATGGAACAAGAAAGCACCCAGGCACCCGCTTTCATCCACTCTTTGCTCATTGCAAGCCACTTGGGACCAGAGAGGGGCAGGGAATTATCCAAGGTCTCACAGTAAGGCATTGGCAGCTCTCAATTCCCCAGGCCAGGGTTCTGTTGGAGAGCAAGCTTGCCCCAGGCCCCAGACTTGCCTGGGGAGAGTCTGCTGCTTCTCCTTCTGCTCTAGGGTTAGGAACAGTCAGTGTCCCAGTGCAGATGTTTCAGATGAAGAGGCTTGCATGCAGAGGGGTAGGCAGAGTTAAGGTATCAAATAAGGTATGAAGTGGCAGCCAGCGACTAGCAACAGTGGCTGGAAAAAACCATCCCCTAGGCTGAACGAAGGCGAAGAAATAGCATTGCTGGAGCCTGGTGGGGAGGCAGCTACTGAAGGAGGCTTCCACAGGAAAAAGTGGGGTCGGAGGTGTGTTCCAGGAAGATCTCCCCCTCTGTGTATGTGCAGTGGCTGTGAGCTGGCCTGGGGCAGGAAGGGGTCCAGAGTCTGGGCTGGCGATCAGGAAGAGGAAGTCAGAGGGAAGAACAGCAGGATGGATGCTTCTTAGGCCTCAGGGGTCCTACATCCTGCCACAAACATGGCCCAGCACTCACAGCCTATTTATCACATACCCTGTTCTCCACTCCCTGGTTGAAATCTAGCAGCCATCCACACTTCTAGAGCATCCACACTTCTAGGTCACCATGTGGCCAGAACCGGAGACTGGGCAGTAGCCAACTCCTGACTCTACCAGCTACCCCTCCAACTATCTTGGCAGTGTGATTCTTGGAAGCCAAAACATGCCTCCTTGGAGCTTCTGCCCACTGGTCTGAGTTCTGTCCCCAAGGGCCCAGTAGAAAACTTTAGCTGTAAAGAACAACTTGGTGAGAACCCCCAATCCAGAAGCACACATATTAAGGAGATGGAGATAATGAGACTCTGCCTGTATCCGCATGCTTCCCAATAGCCCTCCCCTCCCCAACACGCACACCCTCCCTCCACCTCAGAAACACCAGTTACAGGGGCGCCTGGGTGGCTCAGTCGTTAAGCGTCTGCCTTCGGCTCAGGTCATGATCCCAGGGTTCTGGGATCGAGCCCCACATCAGGCTCCCTGCTCAGCGGGAGGCCTGCTTCTGCTTCTCCCTCTCCCACTCCCCCTGCTTATGTTCCTGTTCTCACTGTCTCTCTCTGTCATCTAAATAAATAAAAAAAAAATCTTAAAAAAAAAAAAAAAAGAAACACCAGTTACAGCCAGTCTTCTAAATCTGCCAATCTAGCTTGCTGCTCTTCTCCGATGTCTTCACTTTCTCCCTTGCAGCAGCTGAGTGCTTGGCTTCTCCTCAAATCTTCCCATTCTGATGCAAGTGGGAAGCCCGAGCTTGTCTCTTCCCTCACTTTGCTTGGCTGAGCCAGGACAGACAAGACACAAAAACTCGGTGAGTGCATGTTTGGGCACATCAGTGAGGGTTCTGCAGGTGTTATGTTTTGCAGAAGTTGAGAGAACATTGGCAATGTGCACCCACTGAACCCCCTGCTCCCACCTGCTCCATAAACATTCAAGGGAGGCTCTGTGTCAGGTCCTCTCTGCTTCCCCAGCACCAGCACAAAGGGGCACTTAATAAATACTTGTCTGTTGAATGGATGCTGAAGGGATTGGCTGCTATTGCAGGGGATGTGGGGAGGAGGTAGAAAGTTTGACTGGCCAACGCAAAATATATGGGAAATGTCCTTCTGGTGCCCTTCTGGTTGATGCTGTTGACACCCCTCGTAGATGGGTAGATGAAACCCATCAGTTGCTATTTGGTAGGGAGACCAAAACTCACCACAATCCTCCACCCGACCCCCACCTCAATTTCCCAGGGATGTCAGGCCAACTGAGGGAGTGGCAGGTATGAAACCCTTGGTAGGGGAGAGGTGAGATGAGATAACATTGGGGAAAAGAGTTGTGTCTAGACCCACTCATTCTCCGTCTTGACTGCACATTGGAATCACCTGTTCAATCAGTCCAAAAGAAAGCAAGAGAGACAAAGAAATACAGAAAAGGCAGGGAATGCCATCTTTTATAGAAATAGAAAATAGAAAGCACAAAATAAAATGGAAAGAAGATGCTAGAACCCCATGGGGGAGGGCAGGGGAAAGGACAATGCTGCACCTGATTCAGAGAGGGAGCCTGGGGAGGTCGGCAGATGCATAACAAGAGCACTTTCCTGACTTTGACCCCCTGACCCTCAGGAACCCAGGTGTCCTTCAGAAATACAATTTAAGTAAACACAAAGCACTTATTATGTAAATGCAGAAAACCAGTGTTCTTGGTAGTCCCTACTCCTCCCCCAAAACATACCACCCATTCCAGTGGAGGGTTTGGTACAGATTAGATGCTAAGGTTAAATTTGCTGTTTAATTAAGAAAGAAGGTGTTCCAGTCAATTTAGTGGGCCTTTCCTGGGGTTTCTCCTAAGCCACAGGACAGGGCTGAGCCAATCTTAGGGGCTCATAAAAAATATAAAAGGCTTGGGGGTGCCTGGCTGGCTCAGGCAGTGGAGCATGAGACTCTTGATCTTGGGGTTATGAGTTCGAGCCCCACATTGAGAGTAGAGATTACTTAAAAATAAAATCTTAAAAAATATATATAAGAAGCTTGGTATCAGACCCAATGGGGGAAAACCCTTGGACATGCAGTGCAGCCTGGAGATAGGACAAGAGAACAGGAGCTCACAGTTACTGAACTCTTACCATTCCAGGCCCATTATACAACCAGCTTGCTAGGCAGGCACCTTTGAGCTTTGAGACAGTAAGCTCCCCACCCCTGGGAGTGAGCAAGCAGGGCTGGGCTCACAGAAACTCCTTCCTCTCTAGCTTGGAGAACAGGTCTCCATTTTAGCAAAGCAGTTCTATTGGCGGCCCATTCTCTGGCAGGGACAACACACAGGCTGGGGCAGGTGCAGGTCAGGGCAAATGATCAAGTTATCAGGCTCAGGTTGCAGTTCTGCCATCCTGTGGGTCTGTGCCAGCCCTGTGGCAGCTCAGTTAGGCAGTACTTAGGGTTAGGGCGGCTTCCAAAAAACTTTGCAGGCTGGCTAAGTACCTTTGTCTCATGTGGTCTCCAACCCTGCCCTGGGAACCACTCCCTTTTCTGTGGTCAGCAAACACTGCCTGGCCCTCAGGCCTGCAGAGGGGGAGCTAAGTAGGTTTAGGGAAAGGGCTGGGCTCCAAGAAAGGTCCTATGGTTGAGCCGGAACAAGAGTAGGGCTGTGCACTGGTGACCTGGGCCAGAGCCATGTCTGAGGAACAACACTGCGGCCAGAATCAGAACACAGTGGATGGAGGAATGAGTGGGAGTGAAGAATGTGAACAGTGAGGGTCAAGGATCAACTGAGCAGGGCTGGGAAGAGGCAAAAGAGCACCGAAGGGTGCTTTACTTTTAAGGTGGATACACCTGAGCATTTTTTAATGCTGAAGGGAGGATACTGGGGATGCAGGGCAGGGGGCTAAGAGATGCACCCACGGCCCAAGCAGGCAGGAGGACACGGATACTACACTACAGAATTGGCCACACCAAGGTTGAGAAGGTGGGGTGAAGGGGTGAAGGGGACCAAAAAGGATGCTGGGTCCTTCTCAGGGCAGAAGCCAGGTTTCAGCCTGAGTAGAAGAAATAAATAGGAAATGGTGGCCATCAGAGAAGCTTGGGAACAGTCACAGAGAAAGGACACAGAGCAGAGCATGAGCTGGGGCCCAGCATACTGAGGGCAGCTGAAGGAGAACAGAACCTGCCCGGAGTGGGGGGAGGCGCAGAGTCTGTAGGGGCTACGGTGCCCCTGGATAGAAAGCTCAGCCTGGGGTCGGCGCTGATGGGCTCTGAAGACCTGCCCACACTACTCCAGCTGGCTCCTCCTTGGGGGACTGCTTTTCACCCTTCAAGGCTCGGCCTGGGAGGGGCGCCTGGGTGGCTCAGTTGGTTAAGCGACTGCCTTCGGCTCAGGTCATGATCCTGGAGTCCCGGGATCGAGTCCCGCATCGAGTCCCGCATCGAGTCCCGCATCGAGTCCCGCATCGGGCTCCCTGCTCGGCAGGGGGTCTGCTTCTCCCTCTGCCCTCT